CCGGCTCGGCGGCGCTGCCCGGGACCCGCGTGGCTGCCGCGGCTCGGGTGGGCGCTGGGCCTCGGGGGCCGCTGCTGCCGCTGCCTCTGAGGGAGTGCGAGGCGTCGCGGCGGTGCCCTCCGCTGGAGGAGGAGAAAGAGGAGGCTTTCGGCCAGGGACGACCTCCCGGCCATGGTGAGGCGGCGGCCGCCGCAGCCCGGGGTAAGTCAGCGCGACCCGTCCCGGCTCGCCCCTTGCCCTCGCTGCCGGTAGGGGCCTGGCGGCCGCGCTCGCACCAAGCGAACCCGGCGTCCTGGCGCCGCCTCCACACGGCGCTCCCGGGCCTCCGCCTTCCTTCCCGCGCCCCCCAGGAGGCTGGAGGCCCGTGGGGGGCGACTAGGCCCAGCGCAGCCTGGAAGCCCTCCGGGCCTCGGTGCTAGCGCGGCCGGGCGTGTAGAGAGGGGCCCGGGGCCCCGAGGACGCCCTTCGGGTTTGCCCGGGCGGGGCCGAGCGCGGCCTCTCCCCCCACGGGCCCTGCTCGGACATCCCGGAGAGACGAAGGACGCCGGAGTGCGAACAACCTCGGCTTCCCGGCGCCCCACACCGAGCCCCGCAGAGTCCCGGGGGCGGGGGGAGGGGAGAACTGGGGTGTAGAGGGCGCAGGGCCCTGAGTCTAGGGACTCCTACACTTAGCACCTAGAGTGTCATTCACGCGTCCGACTTGCAGGAGAACAGCCTTTTGCGTCTCTTTGAGGTGAAATTTCATCACCTGCTGTGGTAGCTCGTCCCTTCCTTCTTATATTACATTTTGCCCGTAAGCGTGCTCTGCCTTGGAGAAAGCCCCATCCCACCTTTGCAGCGCTGAGTTTCCTAGATAAACACAGTTATAAAAATACATTTTTTCAAAGATCTCTCTTCCTCCCCCACCCCCAGTACGAAAGGAAACATTTTAATGCCTCAGTCCTTAGTACGAAAATGTTTCACCGAAATAGAGCCAAAAAACAGATGGCAAGAGGATTTACAGTCTAAAATCTTATAACAGGACTTACAAGTCAAGTCCTGTTAACTATACTGATAGAAGGTACTTAGGACGGGGGTACATTCTAAATTTTAGAAGTAAAATGGTTTGTTCTGAAATAATATGGAAAAATGTTAGTGCTTACCGTGTGATAACGTCAGAGATTTGGGTGTTTATGATAATTATGATTACATGTTATTCTTGTTTTCCACTTACGAAGGTTGTAGGATTTATAGATATTTCTAAAACTTTTGTAATCATAAAAAAGTCCTTGTAGAAAATTCGCAAAGCACAGAAAGTTAATGTGTCAGCTGTCAATAAATATTTAATAACTGGAGAGAAATCACTCAAAATCTCACAGATAGTACATTTTGATAGTCAAAGTTTACAATGTGCTTGTACCGATGGTGATTTTTAACATTATTCCTGTGTATTAGATTCACAGTTATCTCACTGATCTATTTTATATCTAGCATTCGATAAAGACTGTAAGAATACTTTACTAAATTGTGTGGGAACCATAGTTGAATTCATCAACTAAAACGGAATAATGTGGGTAACCACTACAGGACCTCTGACTTAGAAGGGATTGTTGTCGAGGTCTGGGGAGGTTTGACAAATTAAATATTCTTGAGGACCCACTGTATTTAATGTTGTGGCCTTGTATTTTTTTTTTTTTTTTCCTTTTTCAGATTTTGTTGAAAGATTTTAGACTGTAAAAAACTGGACTTGGTTAAATTCTTTTGACAGGTTTTTGTTTGTTTGGTTTTTTTTTGTGTTTTGGTTTTTTTTTTTTTTTTGGTTTTTTTTTTTTTTTTTTTTTTTTGCTTTTTGAGGCAGGGTCTCACTTTAAAGTACAGACTGGCCTTGAACTTGCTGTGTAGCCCAGATTAGTCTCAAACTCCCAGGGATCTTTCTGCCTCAGCCCCCTGTTGGGATAACAAGTGTGTGCCACCATACTGGGCTATTTTGTTGTTTGTTTGTGTGTTTTAACCTTGTTCTGGGGATTGACTCCAAGACTTCTGGCAGGTGAGGCAAAGCCTTCCACCAATGAATTACAATTAAATTTTGGGACAAGGTGTGAGAAAGTTGTTCAGGCTGGCCTCAAATTCGTGTTCCTGCCTCAGCTTCCTACCTGGGATTAGAGGTATGCGCTACTACCTCCAGTTGATTTATGTTTTTAAAATTCTTGATTCATTTCTATATGTGTCCCTACAGACCACAACCGTTAAAATCAATTGAGCATGCTGATTAAAATATGCAGATTTTTTGCACCTGGAATTATAATTCCTGGTATTATGGTGGGCAAAAGATTTGTATCAAACTCTTGATTCTTATTTCTACTGAAGTTTCAGAGTCATTGATAAAAGTTAAATAACCTTACCTAGTTGAATAAAAGTGTTTTCTAGCAGAGCTGTAATTCTTAAATGGCAGTATGGTCATTTCTCATAGCAACAGATAATGATCTTATAATGCTAGAAAGAATATTTTGAGGGCTAATTCAATCAAGAGACATTTATTCAGAGCCCGCTGTGGTAACTGTGGTATATAGAAGGATGCCTGGACGCTTATCTTGGGACTTAATAGACTTCAATGTCATTGTAAAATGTAAATAGTTTTTATATTTATTTAACAGAGCTTTTAGGATAAATACATCTGAATAAGTGTTGTAGTCTTTAGCAGACTTTGTCAGGTCCTGTTTTAGGTGTTCAGGAAATATAAAAATGGCCAAGGTTTCTGCTAGCAATTAGCTAATTGTGGAAGCAGGACAAGCTTAATTAACTGTTACAAGGTAAGGTTACAAAGCAATTGTAATTGAATGGGACAGGCTAAATTTCTGCTTGGAGCTTCTGTGTGTTATCCAATATTTACCCTTTAAGATCATTGGTAAGGAGTGGATTTCTCAGTGGTAAAGTGGTTGCCTGGTACAAACAAGGCCCTGGATTTGATCTTTAGTACCACCAGAGCAATGATTATCCTCCCTGCCCCCCCTTCCACTTCCAGATTCAGTATGTCCTTTAAGGAAATAATTGTTTGTTGTCTGTTAAGTGCTTGTTTCATATTCCAAAAGAAAGAATGAGAGAAGAAAAAGAGGGAGGGAGAAAGAGACAGAGACAGAAAGGAAGGGTGGAGATGATCCCAGTCCTTCTCTGTTGTTAACTTACCAGTGTTACTCCATTCACTAAACTTTCATCTGGCACCTGTTATGTCCTGGCCACAGACTAGTTGATTACAAGACTGCAAGATACAAAGCTTGATTAAAAAGTAATTGCCTAGATTTTAACAAAGTGATCTTTGTTGCTAGAAGAGTGGGGTGTGTGTGTGTAAGATTATTAATTGCATGATCTGGTGCAGAGTATGGAGTCACATGTGAACAGGAACCTTTACTATAAATTGCTCTTTACTCTTTTTTTTTTTTTTTAACTCAGGCCCTTGTGCTTGCCAGGGAAGTACTTATTCCACTGAGCCATCTCCCCGGCCCCAGCTCTTTACTCTCAGAATAACGTGTTTAGCTTCTGAGTTTCTTACAGTCTATTGAAGTAAGAGTATCTTACCCAGCAAATAGAACAGGCTCCATGAGATAAAAGCAACCAAAGGTAATTATCTCAGTGTCACATAGACAGTACTCAGTAGATGTTCATTTATTTCTTTGTTTCTTTTCTTCTTTCTCTGTTTTTTTTTTTTTTTTTTTTTTTTTTGAGGCAGGTTTTCACTATACAGTTCAGACTGGCTTTGAACTCACGTATGCCCAGGTTGGTCTTGAACTCATGGTTGTTCTCTTGCCTCAGCCTCTCAAGAGGCTGGGATTACAGGCATGCATGGCCATGCTCAGCCAGTAGATGTTCATTTTATTCCTCCTTTCTTTCTTTTTTCTTTTCTTTTCTTTTTTCTTGTGGAGGGAGTTCAGGCTTTGGAATTTGTGTAACTTAAAATTTGGTAACTTTAACTTTTTTTTTTTTTTTTTTT